AATTTTTAATTTATTGAACCTTATTACTATTATATTTTTATATATTTATGTTTATTGCTCTGTTAGCATGTAATCTTTTCCACAGCGTTTTGCAAGAAACTAAATTAAATTAAAAAAAAAAAGTTGTTTTGAACAGATCCATTTTAATGCTTATATTATTATAATGTAACTCTTTATTTGTCACATTTCGTGTAAACATTGCAATAACAATTTTTACTCTAATATAAAATTACAATAATTTCTTTGTGCCGCATAATCGATCAATATGATTTTTTTAAAGGAATTGAAAACATGTTTACATGAACTTGCTATGGTAGACCACACGTTGGAAGTTCTCGGAACGCCAAAGGAATACCAAAGGCTACGTAATTGGATAATTCGAATAATAATCGGATGGATTGTATGCTTTTTTTATCAGTTAGCGCGTTCGAATTTTATTGTTTTCTTTGAATTAAATTATGACATAAATTTCAACATGTTTGTTATGCTGATGTATACTGAAACTCTGGGCAATTATCCGTCATACGTTATTGCCTTAAGTGCTCTGATATCTGCAGCTATCCTGGTTAGTATTATACATGTGTATACATTTACTTTGTAAGCTATTTTTAAGAATTGGAAAGAGTATGGGCACTAGGAGTCGGGCGCAGAAAACGTCGCGCAAATAATACACTTATAAAGAGTGAAACTTCTTTATTCACTAAACGCGCTTACATGGTTCGATTTTTGAGCCTTCCTCAGAGCAAACACACATTAATAACATACATATGTTACATCACGCTTGGTTACCTGGATATATGTGAAGTATATGTGTGTATTGAAGATCCGTTATACATTTATAGAAAAGACTCACATGAGACTCATCATGCATAGGAAAGCGTATACCGAGAAAGTAAAGAATAATCCCAGAGCGGAACCCAACATTTTCACCATCTTGACGTTTTCGTAAGTATAAATAGTAAACTACAAATACCATTCGTGATAGAGCCGATTAAGAGAAATAATAAAACTGAGAGTGAAGGTAATGCGATCCAGAGAAAAGTTTACAGAACGTAATAACTTGATATATAAGATTCAAAAGTTTCCAGTCTAAGAATATGAAAAGTATAAAATAGAACTAAGGACCTAAAGTAAACTTTGAAGATGTACAATAAGTCAGAAAGCTCAGTATACACTCGTCTCCTTTGAAAAAACTGGAATCATCCTAGAATATCGAAGAATATTTTTTAATGAGGATTTTGAATGGTCAACAATTAAGTTTGAAAAACAATAGAAGAAATATTTTAATAGTCAGTGTTTTTAAAGTTTTTTTTGTAAATGATCACACAATTATTTCACATAAAGAGAAGTAATTGTTTAACATAGTTTAAGATAAACTATCGTATCTGAATAATATATTATCAAATTTTTTGTTTCCTTATCATCAACGTTGAGTGCAGAAAAAGCATATATCAGTCCAAATTTGAAAGTCAATTTTTTTTATTTAATAGATAAGATTCAAGAAATCAGCAATGTTTAAAAAATACTATTAAATGTCATATTAAAATTTCCAATAGTAATTCTGTTAGTTTTTCTATTAAAATTAAACAGGTTTTTATTGAAATTGAAAAATTTGATAAACGTGATTTATTCCCTTTTCGCACACACTGGTTCAATTAGAAATATCTTCAGTTATGAGAAAATATTAGTTCTGAAAATTTAAAATTATTAGTATAGATAATTAATACAATTAAATAACGAGTTTTATGTAATTTAAAAAAAAACGCTTGTCACGAAACCGTCATATTTTTTTTATCTTGGAATAATTTTAGATTTTAACAATAAATTATAGTTAACAGTTAATTTATGTTAATCGTTAATTTCAGATGACTGAGATGCAAACGGTAGGCAATGTTTCCGGCAAAGTATTCACTGGTTATCTCCGTGCTGGTGGCAACTGGTGCGTTATATTCATAGTAACCATGCTTAGCGTAGCGACACAATTAGCGGCTAGCGGCAGTGATTTCTTTCTTGCGAATTGGGTTAATAAAGAAAGACTTCATGTAAGTGTGTCACTAGACACTAAGTGTTGTGAAATGATCAGCGAATTGAAGGTGTAATCGCTTTTGCAAGAGATTCGAGAAGTGTAAAATTTTACAACAAAGAGTACTTTAGTAATATTTTTTACGTTAGGTTTCAAATAGGTACTTTTTATGTAGATGAAGCAAATAATGTACTTATTTATATAAATTGTTATATTAAAAGTAATATAGTTAATACTTAGTTTATCATGTCATTTTTAATCCCAGCTTTGCTCAAAATTTTGAAGTTTGTGTCAATTTTGATTTAAATAAAGAGGATTTAAATGAATTATTATTTTTGTTATAAAGAATAAAGTTACAAATTTTAATAACTTAGTTCCATTAAATTAGCTTACTACTAAATAAAATTTTCGATGCTTTAAAATTAAACCACGAAACATTCGAAGATAATTTTGTTCTTAAAGAACGTATGAGAAGAAAAATGTTCCTGTAGAAAGATTGCAGAGAAACATGAGTTTTATGTCGAACTTAAAATTTAAAATAAACTTGCAACTACAATTATATTTCTTTTCACGTTAAAAATATATTATTAATTACGTATACAATTCCTAGATGAATCAAACGGAAGATGGCACTGTGAAAGACGTTCCTCCAAGAAGTTTCCTTACTTGCATGGAGTGCATTTACATCTACAGTGGCCTAATCGTGCTGACAATCGGCATCACCCTTATCCGCTCATGGGCTTTCTTCTGGATGTGCTTGCGGGCCTCAATGCGCTTGCACGATCGTATGTTTCGCACCATTAGTCGCGCCACTATGCGATTCTTCAATACCAACCCGTCGGGACGTGTACTCAATCGCTTCTCCAAGGACATGGCCGCGGTAGACGAGATGCTGCCCATCGCGTTTATCGATTCTATCCAGATCGGTATGTCGCTGGTAACCGCCATCATCGTGATTGCTATCGCAAACGTGTAGCTGCTGATAC